AGTAATAAATATAGTAAAAATTATGAGATAATAAGTTAAGAGATAGTATCAGAGAAAAAATTAATGAGAGATAGGTAAAGGAATGTAAGTTTAAAAAAATACTAATGGGATAATACTTAAAAATTATGCTTTTTATATTTTGATTTAAAGCTTGTTAATATAGATAAAGGAGGAAAGAGAATTGGAATAAAAAAATATATAATGATCAATAAAGATGTAAAAAGTAAAAAGTGACTAAAAAAGAATAATATAATAGAAGGATAATGTAAGAAATAATAACAAATAAATTATTAATATAGAAAGAGAAAGTAATGACAAATATTGGTATATAGATAAATATAGTGACAAAAAATGTGAAGAGAAGCTAAAAAATAACATAGTAACAAAAATTAATGAAACATAGAGCATAGGTAAATGAAAAAGTAACAAGAAAATAATACTAATGAGTTATATCATTTATGTTTTGCCTTAAAAACTTTTAATATGGGCATTTAGAAGAGATGAGACAAATTAAGGTAAAAAAAATTATATTTAATAGTGACAGTTATAAATGCAAAAATAAAGGGACTAATGAAGATTGGATTAATTATGAAGATTTTAATTGATATAGAAACCAACTAATTTTTATATTCGTTAATTAAAAATTAATTTTAATTACAAATTAATATTATTATATTTAATTTAATAATTACTAAAGACAGTGAGTAGCACAATTTTAGAGCCTATTATAAAAGGTAAAATAGATCAAAACGATAACAAATACAAAGATGAAATATTATGACCCAACACCACCAATCAGCAAATGTGTATCCAAGAAAGTTAATGCTAAAGAATAATAAATTGACATAAATAGTTGCAAGACGTAAAGTAAACACGATTTTCACGCAAAGATGAGACACCATGACCACCACCAAAATGCATCCAAAGAAAGTTAATGTTAAACAACAATCAACAGTAATAATTGCAAAGGATAGACACGATTTCCACACAAAGTCTAAAGCATTGCGTAATTTCGATCAAAGTAGCACTCTTTATCTTAAAAAGTAATAAAGAAGGCGCAATGTGTAAATAACTTTGCAAACGGCCCGAATGGAGTGGTCCTTACTTCTTAATGGCACGATTTCCACACAAAATCTAAAGCATTGCGTAATTTCGATCAAATTAGCACTTTATCTTAAAAAGTAATAAAGAAGGCGCAATGTGTAAATAACTTTGCAAACGGCCCGAATGGAGTGGTCCTTACTTCTTAATGGTAGTCAAAGTTTCCCACAATCCTTTCATACCTCAATTATTTTGGTTGTTGCTATCTACAACAACCAAAAATTAGCACTTTATCTTAAAAAGTTATAGGCTTAATTGATGATGCATTCGAAATTTACAAAAATACTGGTTAAGGATACTGTTTAGAATTTAAGGATTAAAGGGTGATTTTTTTTTTTTTAAGTATGTAGAGACTAAGAATCGGTCATTCCTAGATTTATGGTTAATAGTGCAAGTAATTCTACCACCAAATCATATGGTTGATGGTAAATTAAAAGGTGTTTGCAATGTGGGTACTTAGCAATGGTTAGAACAAAGGTACTTCCCTCTAAAGAATGGTTTCGTAAGTTACTTTTGACACGACCCTTAGAAACAAGTTAAACAATACTACTATTTGGCCATAAGTTTGTCACTACGCGAAGTTATAATAAATATAATCCTATTCCTACCCTTTTTAGGTAATTCACTCTGCTTTTTTTAATTTGTTTGAAATTCATGCAAATCACTCTCCTTAAATTTCGCTGCACTCAATTCATAAATCATTGTGTTCAGTAGAACGGATTTTTTTTTTTTTTTTTTTTTTTCTGGTTTCATCTATTACTGTGAAATTTTGTTGCTTTAATGGTGTTGCATTAGTTTTAATTCTGGGTTTTCTG